TTTGTATTAATAAAAAGTGCTATTCTGTAAATTGTTAAAGTGAGTCCTTGCAGTTGCCAGTGGCAGATAATACCTTGGCAGGACCCACGGAGGGGTCCTGGCTCTGTTGAGTGCCCCCTAAGAAGGGAGGTTGAGGTACCCTCTGATCTTGTGAACCTGTTGGTGAAGGGTCTCCTTAGGAGATGGTGATAGACTGTCAGATACCAGGGTCTCAACTTTCCTGGGAGACCAACAAGCAAACATCTGAACTCCCACCTTTCACACTGTGACAACAGTGGAAAACAGACATTGTATACTACACAAATGCATAAATCCTTCATGCCTGGCAGGCTTGCAAAAGACTAGCTCTAACTTGATGTCTCAGTTTAAAGAGACTGCAATGTTTTGCTAGGGAGGATGAGTTATGAAGTAGACCAATCTCCTCTCTCTCAGCAATTGTAAATCCAAATTAAGAGGCTCCAATCAAGGAAGTACGGAAAAAGGAAGAAATAACAACCCTTTATTAAAGGATATATGTATATTGGCAAAACCAACAAAAGAACACAAAAATAACTAGGCAATAATCTTGTACCCAGAAGTCCCCTTCAAAAAGGAAACAGTTTGATACTTCTCTGTCCTCTAGCACAATTCTAATTACATTACTGGAGGATCACTGGAGGTGCAGAGCCTGCAGTGCTCTGTGGTGGCCTGCAGGGAGCGCTGTTCAGCTCTGGCGGTCACTGCACGGGGTCCCAGATCATGGGAGAAGCCAAAATGGGGACCTTCCCCCACCAAAAAGGGAAGGGAAGAAGAGGAAAAAAAGGCAGTTTATTTCCCACTGAAAACTCACTGTTGTCTTCGGCTGGTGGCGCTCGAGACTCCTCTTTTTGCCCAACGAGCCCAAACTCTCCAATGAAATCACAGCAGATTCGGGCTGGAGACAGAAGCAGCGTGCGGGCAAGCCTTTGTCTCCATTTGAGTAGCAAACCAAACTGTTCCCCCCTTTGTGAGGAGGGGAACTAAAAAAAGTCCCCCCCCCCCCCGCCCCCCAGCAGTCCTAGATGGGCCATTAGCCGGGAATGCAGGTTTGCCAACTAGCTCTTTTGTGAAGTCAATCACCCCTTCCCCCTCCTCATCCAGCCTCCCTCTCCCACAGTGGGGCAGGGGAAAGGAAAATTCCTGCTTGGATTTTTAGAATAAGCAAACATATGACATTTGACTAACTCTGATCAGCTTCTGCTGACCCTTTCTCACTGTCCCAATATTTAAAATTAAGTGTCTGCATGATTATTTTGAAATTAATTTTCTTTTATATGGAAATTACTAAATTTGAGCTAAATCATTGTAGCTCTTATTTCCCAGAATCAAAGAATATGCTGAGTTGGAAGGGACCCATAAGAATCACCCTTATTTCTGCACAGGACCATCCTCAACAGTCACACCATGTGTTCAAGAGTATCATTCAAAAACATTTCTTGAACTCTGTCAGGCTTGGTGCTGTGACCACTTCTCTGGGGAGCCTGTTCCAGTGCCCAACCACCCTCTAGGTGAAAAACTTCTTTCTAATATCTGACCTAAACCTCCCCTGACATCATTTCAGGCTGTTGCCTAAGGACCAAAGACCACACAGAAGAGATCAATGTCTGCTTCTCCTCTTCCCCTCACAAGGAAGTTGTGACTGCAATGAGGTCTCCCCTCAGTCTCCTGTTATTCAGGTTGAACACAGCAAGTGACCTCAGCCACTCCTCATACGGCTTCCTCTCAAGGCCCTTCACCATCTTCATTGTACTACTTTGGATGCTCTCTAAGAGCTCAATATCTTTCTTATATTGTGGTGCCCAAAACTACATACAATATTCAACAAGGTGAGGCCACCCCAGTGCAGAGCAGAGCAGGACAATCCCCTTCCTCAACCAGCTGGCGATGCTTTGTCTGATGCCCCCCCGGACATGGTTGTCCCTCCTGCCTGCCAAGGCACTGCTGACTCATGTTCAACTTACCGTCAACCAGGACCACCAGGTCTCTTTTCAAAGCACAGCCTTCCAGCATCTCATTCCCTAGTCTGTATAAACATCCAGGGTTGGCCCATCCCAGGTGCAGAATCCGGCACTTTTCTCTGTTGAACTTCATCTGGTTGGTGACTGCCCAGTCCTCTGATTTGTTGAGGTCTCTCTGCAGGGCCTCCCCACCTTTGAGAGAGTCAACAGCTCCTCCCAGTTTTGTGTCATCTGCAAACTTGTTCAGTATCCCTTCCAGTCCTATGTCCAAGTCATTTTTGAAGATGCTGAAGAGCACAGGGCCCAAGATGGAGCCCTGTGAAACCCCACTAGTGACAGGTCACCAGTCTGATGTTACCCCATTCACTGTTACCCTCTGTGCTTGACCCATGAGCCAATTGCTCACCCACCACATCATGTGTTTATCCAGCTGTGTTCTGGACAATATGTGCAGAAAAATCCTGTGAGAGACCGTATTGAAAGCTTTACTGAAATCCAAAAAGATTACACCAACTGGCTTTCCTTGATCAACTAAGTGGATTAGCTTGCCATAAAAGGAAATCAGGTTCGATAAGTAGGACTTTCCTGTCATGAAGCCACGCTGGCTGTGACCAATGACTGTGTTGTCTTTCAGGCATTTTTCAATACTTCACAGAATAATCTGCATAACTTCACCAGGCACTGAAATGAGACTGTGTCACGGTTTGAGAGCCCAAAAATCCAATTTCCAGTTTCTAAGCTTCCCCCCAATTTACCTCAACACCAAAGAGAAGTTTTCAGGTAGGCACAACTCAGTATAGGGGAAGGGAATATATACAATTTACTACTATACACAAATAAATACTATAGGAACTAAAAAGCAATTATATACACAATGTTAACAATCCTACAACCCCTTGAGCCCTCCCACATCAGTTCAGGAGAAGCCTTCAGGCCAATAGTTAAAACAGTCTCTCTCATTGGGGTATCAGGGAAAAAGGGCTCTTCTGACCACCCCCACCAGTCCTCAACTCCTTGTTGAGGTCTCATCTTCATCACGAGGTCTAAGAAGATAGCTCTGAGTCCTTCCTCCTTGGTTCGTGAAGGTTTTCTCCCCAGAGAGTAAGATGTTCAATTTCTCACTCTTGAGGGTTTGCAGGGTTCCTGGGCCTTGCTTAGTTCTCTTTACCCCAAATAGTTTTCACCAAAAAGTTCTCATCCAGAAACCTCTGCTGGCTGTTTAGCTCTCTCTGTTTCGTAGCTGCTGCAGTTCAGCTCAGCTTGTCACGTGCACATGTCCTGGAAATCATTCCTCCTCCATCAGTTTCCAACTGCCCCCCATCTAAACTACCGCAGGGGCAACTCCCGAGCCTCTTGGCCCATCTCCAATTCTTACCTGGAATTCTTCCAGCTCCTGCACACATTGCAGTTGCTGCTCCTGGCAACTGAGCCTCCTCTGGCCCATCTCCTGGCTCGGTTCCAATGCTGAACCTTAAAATCTATCCCCATGAGCCTCTTATATGCAGTGTCGGGGGGGGGGGGGGAAGCCCCCCTAGCTTTGGCTACAGGCATTCAGTCCATTTATAAACTGTCCCAAGCACCCCACAGCCTAACTTGGGGGGTGAAAAAGGGCCTGGCCTCCTCGCGAGGGGCCTGCCTCTCTCCCTGTTACCTCAACAGTTGTGAGTCTCTCTCTCTCCCTCACAACACTCCACGCTGCCTTCAGCCCTGAGTTCGGTGGGGGGGAGGCCCTGCCACCCGTCAGCTCTCTCACACACTCTCAGGCACACACGGCCACACACTCCAACACTCTGCCAACAACTTCCAGCTGTTGTGGATATCTGATTTTCACAGGAGCGAAAAAGAACAGCTGCCATTGGTCTCTCAGGGGGAACTCTCCTGGGATCAATCAACTCTAGGCCCTCCAGCTCCCCGGGGGGGGGGGAGGGTGGCTCAAACCAAGACAGACTGACAAGCTGTAGTTTCTGGGGTCCTCTCCCTTCTTGAAAACTGGGACAACATTCACCAGTTTCCAGTCAGCTGGGATCTCTCCAAATTCCCAAGACTGTTCAAAAATCAACAAAAGAGGTTTTGTGATGACATCAGCCAACTCTTTGAGAGTTCTGGGTTTAATCCTATCAGATCCCATAGATTTGAAGGGATCCAGCTGGAGCAGCAGATCCTGCACAATTTCATTCTTGCAGTCATGGTCCTCCTGTTCAGGGCGCTGAGACCCCCTTGGTCCATCATCCATGTGGAAGACAGGGGCAAAGAAAGCATTAAACACCTCTGCCTTGTCTCTATCCCTGTTTGTGAGGTGAACATCCTCATTCTGTAACGGGTCAATGATATTTCTATACTACATATTGCCATCTTTGAAAAAACTCTTTTTATTATCCTCCATATTTCTGGCCAGCTTCAACTCCACTTGAGCTTTAGCCACAAAAACTTTCTCTGTACAGTGGTAAGCAGCATCTCTGTATTCTTCCTGTGTTACTTGACCTTGCTTCCACTGGACATACACCTTCCTTTTTTGTCTTATTTCCAAAAGAAGATTTCTGTTCAGCCAGGCCAGCCTTCTGCCTTGCCTGCTTGACTTCTGACATCTGAGAATTACCTGCTTCTGTGCCCTTAGGAGGTGATGTTTAAAAAGTGACCAGCACTGATGGACCCGATGTGGAGGTTTGGAAAAAAAAGTTTCAAAAAAAGCTAATTTCAAAAGTTTTTCTACAATTTGTTCTAATGTGAGAGAGAAGTTTTCAGACAGGCACACTTTAGTATGGGGGAAGGGAATTATATAACAATTTATTACTTAATAAATATTATAATACATATACATACATATATATAATAATTTTAACTATCTCTTCTATGGTGAAACAATATATATACGTAGACTGTCTCTCCTTTCCTTCAGAAAAATTCTAGAAAGAAAGAAGAAGTCTTCTTTTCACTTCCATTTCTTCCAAATTAATTTCTGCAGCACTTGGAAGTGTCTCTTATCTTTAAGGCAGCAGTTTTGATTTGTCATAGCTGGAATTCTTCTTTCTTCTAAGGAGTATGGGGGGTCTGCCCCCACTTCTCGCTCTTCAGCCACCTTATCCGAGGGTATTACCGTGAATTTCAGAGGAACACCCGTGTCACCATGTCTGCAGCACAAAGTACAAAGGTTTAAAGTTTAAAGTCTCCATCCCCTGCTCTTGCTCCGTGAAGGTTCCGGCCCCCGGCTAGCTCTCGGGAGACTTCTTTAGGGATTTCCACTCCTCCTCCCTGGGGTCAAAGAATTCTAAGGGCTTTTAGTTTAGTCCTTACCCTAGAACTGATTCCAACCGACTCTCTCTCTCTCTTCCCGTTGGACATCCTTGTGTCTCTAGGTCTGGTCCATGCCATATTTGCTTTTGCTGCTGCTTTCCTCTCCCCCCCACTGCCGGGGGGAAAGAAGATGCAACCCAGGGGGTCTTCCCGATCTTTCGGGGTCCCCCTCGGTCACCAGCTTCAGGGGGGCTTCACTCAGTCGCTGTGCTGCTCCTGCCCCCTACCGCTGGCCAGCCCCATGCCACACGTGGTGTTTCAAATCATGGCTGCCTCTCCTTCAGCTATGCAGTTAAAATTAACCTCTTCTCTTCTGATTCTGTGAGTATGTAATTTCCACAAGGGCGCACAAAGTTTTTAATTGATCCTGTATCAAAAACACCACCTCTGGAACAGACTGTTACCAGCCCCAGGGGGAAAGGTTTTTTCCAAACCACCACACTCGAGCACCTGCAAATACACTTTGCCAGGTGACCTTACTTACTAATTCCCTGAGCAGCCTGAAGTCTGCTCTCCGACTACAGCAGCTGCAGTTTCCGTGGAGGGACTTCCGGGTTCTGATGCGACGACTGATGATGGTGTAATTTCAGACGACATGGTGGTTCCAAGCGGTAGCGATGTAGTGACGCAGAGGCTCCTGGCAGCTCTGTTCCGGGCGGCGCATGTGCAGTAGCAGTCGGTGACTCAGCGCCCACAGCAGGCCCAGCTGGGGGTGTGCCGATGGCGCGGCGCCAGCGTTGCTCTCCACGGGCTCTGCTTTTTCTGCCAGCGCTGGCACGCTGCTGAACCAAGATAAACCTGTGGCTTTTAAAACTTTTACAAATTGCGTCTTTGCAGGCGCAGGCATCGAAACCTCCCCGAAAACAAACTGCTCTACACACATTTGCTCCAAAATCTCACTGTTTCCCTGGAGAGTTACCTTTACAGCCGCCTCTGCAGCCGCAGATGCTCACTTCATAGCATTATAATTTTCCAGCGATTCGACTAACAGACACCAAATCACAGGGTATTTTTTAGCATCCTTTGATCCCTTAGAGATCTCGTCCCATAACTGTTAGATACCTCAAAGGCGGCCTGAGCGGTCGGAATTAGCTTCTTCGCTCTCGCCCATTCCAGTAACCCTTTAAGGGCTTTTTCATCATAATCTGGCTCTCTTAGAGAGACTATAGATTGGAGGAGCTTTTCCACTGCTTTTTCCTCTTTGAATAGCGCGGGCCCCATGCTCCTCCCAGCCAACTCGCCTGGCCAAGGCGAGATTGTAGTTTCACCGTGCACGGCTTTTTTCGCAGCACCAGGGACACTGCTACATATAACGGCTGCTTCCCTTGGCTCTTCTATTTGCCTTAAGTCCCGGAGAACTGACGAATTTGGAGTCCCTGTTTTTCAGGCACCAATTATTAGTGGAGAGGCATGGACAGATCACTCACAGACCATTATGGTCGGCAAAATGTCGGCTTTATTAGAAGAAAGACAGTTTATATAGTGCTCATGATGCTCAGTTCTTGTTCACACTACATTGGATACATAAGGAAAACATACTTTGCTCTCCACTGCTAATTGGATCACAACAGGTGGTCATAGGAGATGAGAAAACTTTATTCACCTGCCAAAACTCCTCCTTGGCATCTGGCAAGAATCCACCTTTGTTCTAACTTCAACTCTTGTAGCCATTTTGACTAACTGATCACACCCAAACTGTGCTAAAGCAAAACACACGGAAATGCAAGGGAAATTGTTCACACAATTTCAACATACCAACATTAAACTGAGCTCAAAAAAGATAAAGGGGGCACTGATCCAGGAGAAGAAAAAAAACCAAGACAAGATGGATCGAGGCTGCCGCTGCCTCCACCACCACCGCTGCTGCCCGGGACCACTCCACAGGACCTGCCGTGAACTGCCACCGCAGAGGGAGCAGGAATCACTGCCAGAGCTGCCACTGCAGCTCGCCGGAGACAGCGAGACACTGGAGCTGCTGGAGACCACAAAAATCTGCAGCCCGAGCTGAAATCGAAAATAAAATCTCAGAAGCTGCGAACAAAGCAAACACACATGAGGAACTCGAAAGCGACCAGATAAGGTAAAACCCAACATGGGAAACAACTACTCTACAGAAACAAAGATACAGAAGCTCTGTGCCTCTTGTTAAGATCATATCAAGTACAAACCACACACGCAGAGTTAATAGAACTTGTGCAATGGATAAAATCTCTAGCACCAAAACTGCCATTGGTGGAAACTCTAAATATAGAAATTTGGGACAAACTTGGAAAGCTCACGAGAGATAAAGCCAGAGCAGGTGACACCCAAGCTAATAACAGCATCCCTACTTGGTCAATCATCATGGAAGCATTACACAGAGCACAAAGACGAACAGAACACCCAACCCACACCAATACACAAACCCCCATCCAGGCTGTTAACCACAGCCCAAATCCACCACACAGACATACACAAAGTGGGGGGAATACACCACATGCAACCCAAACAGATTTAAATTCAGGGGAGGATCTGCGCGGGCAGGCAGGGAATGTTCGTGATTTAAGTGTCGGGTTAGATTCCGGTCTTAGCAGAAGCACGGATTATGAGGAGGGAACGGGAACTGGTAACATGAAAATCCGGCCCACAGGAGTGAGGCGTGGGGCCCTGTTACAGCGATGGGGGAGGGAACCCAGCAAATTCGCCCCCTCAAGCTGCAGATTAACAGCGACGGGCGGAGATGTCTTGTGTGCGAAACAGACTGGAACCTGACCTGTCTCTTCCAGCTGGTTCCAGTTGCAGGCATGGTGGGGGGGAGGTCCCTTCGCGCCACGTCAGTCATTCTCTGCCACACAGCTACGGGGAACCGAATATACCAGGGCCACAGGTGGAAAGGCACTAGAGGATGATGAAGAGGGACCAGAGATGGTCCCCCTGGGAGAGAGTAAGAGGGCGGGAGCAGGGAGATCGGTCGACCAGTAGAGTAGATGCCACAAGGAAGCGATGCAGGTGGGAAATTTGCAAGTGGTCCATGCATGTCCAGTTATATTCCGCCCACGCCAGGCCTCTCAGTTCCAACTGCTGCTGTATGAGGTAACAAAGGAAGTGAGGCAGTTAGTAAGAGAAACTGGTGTTTCCTCAGCTAATATATTTGCATATTTGGAGACGTTGAGTTCAACTTACGTCTTTACCCCAAATGATTGGAAAACTTTGCTAAAACTGGTCCTAACAAATACACAGTACAGCATTTGGTTGACGGATTTCTGGGAGAATTGTGCAGTGGATGCGAATAATCCACAAGCAGGCATAACAAGCAATCACTTAACAGAAGGGGATTTTGCCACAGTAGGCTCACAAACAGGCTATCCCCGAGAAGTTTATGAAGTGATTGCAAAACTGGCTTTGAGAGCTATGAGAAAACTTCCAAGTACAGAGACTTCACAAAGGTTTTACAAGGTTCTACTGAAGCCTTCTCTCAGTTTCTTGATTGACTGCAGGCTGCTTTAAACAGGCAAATGGAGCAAATTGAACACGAAGCTAGAGAAATGTTTTTTAAGCAACTGGTATATGAGAACTCAAACCCAGATTGTAAAAGAGCTTTGCAAACTCTCCCTAAAAGGGAAAACTGCAGCATTGCTGAGACAGTTTGAGCCTGCCAGGGTGTTGGGTTGATCGAACACCAAACTGCTTCTCTGGTTACAGCCTTAAGCGCGCAGCTGAGTGCAGGAGGGGGCAAAACCTAAAAGCGGTTACTTCAGATGTGGTGCTGCTGATCATTTTCAAAGGAATTGCCCTAAGAAAACCCCCACACTAGTGTGCCAAAAGTGTCAGCAAGGGAAGCAGGGGTCAAAAAACTCCTCACAGCAGGGAAACTGGAGATGGGGGGCAAGGTCGCACACCCCGGCACAACAAACAAATTTGGCTCAGGAAAACAGGCTGGTGATCTGCGCCCCTCCACTATAGCCAGTGCTGGGCTGGATTTATCCAGCAGAGAACCAGTAACTATAACATCTACTGCTGTAGTGTTAATTCCTACAGGGGTTTGGGGACCGTTGACCCCAGGGGTACATGCACTGTTAATAGGGAGATCATCAACCACTATGATGTTTGTTCTGCCTGGAGTAATAGACTCAGATTCCCACAGTGAGATTCAAATCATGGTGTGGACCCCAGTACCCCCCTGTCACATACCTAAAGGACAAAAAGTGGCCCGACTAATCCCTTTTTTCAGCGCATCTCCTGCTGGGGAAGGGGAGAGGGGCTCAGGGACTTTTGGAAGCACAGGAGAGCCACAAATCTATTGGGCAAGAACCATTACAACAACACAGCCTAAGATGATGTGCCAAATAGATGGGTGCAGATTCACAGGATTGGTGGACACAGGGGCCAATGTTACCATCATAAAGGACAGAATGGCCTCCTGACTGGCCTATTGTTTACCCAGCCTCAACTATGCAGGGGGTGGGGGGTACACAAAGGCCCAGGCAGAGTGCTTAAATATGCACAGTGCTGGGGCCAGAGGGACAAGTGGCCAAGATAGCTCCTTTTGTTGCTCCTATACCATGCATGTTTTGGGGGAGGGATATCTTGGGGCAGTTCGGCACAGTCATGCAAATTGCTCCTGCAGGCAACCAGGTTTTGCAGTAGGGGCCATTGAATAGCCATTCCAAGGACAAATTAAACTGGTTTGGAAAAGTGATGAGCCTATCTGGATTGATCAATGGCCCATAAAAAAGGAACAGCTTGCTCATTTAAGAGAATTTATAAAAAAGCAGCTTGAAGCAGGACATGTTGTGCCAACTGCGAGTCCCTGGAATACACCCATGTTTTGTATCCTGAAGAAAAGTGGCAGGTGGAGAATGTTGCATGACTTAAGAGCAGTTAACTCAGTAATAGAATACATAGGGGCATTGCAGCCTGGACTCCCTTCCCCTGCTCTGCTTCCAGCAGGATAACCGTTAATGGTAATTGATTTAAAGGACTGCTTCTTTACCATCTTTTTGCATCCTGAGGGTATTCCACAGTTTTCCTTTTCTATCCCCGCTCTGAACAATGCACAGCCCATGCAGAGATACCACTGGGTTGTTCTTCCTCAGGGGGTGCGAAACAGTCCGACCATATGCCAAAACGTTGTGGCAAAAGCTATTCATCCTATCAGAAAGCTTTATCCTTCAGTAATCATCTACCATTACATAGATGACATTTTAATTGCCACAGCCACGGAGACTGAATTGCAGTCTGTTGTTACTGCTCTAACCAATGCTGTCCAAGATGCAGGACTGCAGGTCTCTCCAGAAAAAAGCCAGTGATCACAGCCCCGGACTGACCTTGGATGGAGAATCACGCAGCAGGAGATCTCTTCCCAGCCACTTCAGCTCAAGGTAAAAGATACCTTAACCTTAAACGAACTGCAAAAACTTCTGGGAGCCATCAATTGGTTAAGGCCTATCTTAGGCTTAACCACAGAGAAGCTACACCTCCTGTTTGAACTGTTAAAGGGTAACTCAGACTTAACATCTAGCAGGTTTCTGACTGCAGAGGCAAAGCAGGCATTGGAGACATGCTCCAAGGCAATTGAAAACAGGCAAGGCAGAAGGAGAGATCCTGAACTGCAAATCT